GCTCCGCGCAGGGGGAGCTGGCGCAGGAGGAGCTCTTTGTGGCCGTGGAGATGCTGTCGGCGGTGGCGCTGGTTAACCGAGCCCTGGAGGCCGGAGACGTGGAAGGGCTCTGGAGCAGCCTGGTCAGCCCTGCCTTGGGCATCTCGGACGTAGAGGACGCAAACGCGCAGCGGTGAGCAGAGCCGTTCGGAAAGCAAGGCAGCGGGCGCTGGCGGAAAGCTTTCCTGCTTCGAATCCGCTAAGCCATCGCCCTGCGCTGCCCCTGCAGGTATTTCAATGACTTATTGCAGCTGAAAGGCCAATCTAGGAAAGCGGGAGCCGAGTTCCTGAGCTGGAACGACATTCAGGCCAGCGTGAGCAGCACCAACTCGTCCGTGCAGAACGAAAACGACAGTGAGTGGCGGCCGCGTGGTTTTTGGCTGAGCAGAGAGTTGGGCAAACTTTCCGGAAGGGCTGGTTGCATTGGGAGCCCAACCCTTAGGAGACACTGGAGAACCTCGTGCAACCTTGAGCTGCAAATCTACACCCGGAGCACCTGCGGGCTGACATGGGTGTCCCTTCCCTCCCGTTGCAGAAGTCCTCGCTGTCAGGCTGATCAACGAGGCGCTGCTGCAGGACGACCCCGAGAAGACCCTGGCGGCGCTGCTGCTGCCGGCGGCCGGCCTGGCCGACGTCACCCTGCCGGTCGCTAGACGTTACCACGATGTCCTGACCCGGGCGCGAAGGCAAAAGGCCCAGGTAGCATGCTGGTTCCCCGCAGCAGCGTGGCGCCTTGCTGCTGTCCTCGGCATGCGGTTGCGCTTGGGGCTTGTTAGACCCTCTTTCTTTCCACCTTCCAGGCCACAGAGGATGACAGGGCTGTCCTCTGGTGGGAAGAGATCCAGCAAGGGGTTTCCAAGGCCAACCAGGACTCTGCGGCCACGAGGAGAAGTAAGGGCTCCCCGCGGCGCTGGGAGCTGATGCTGCCAAGAGCTGCAGCCCTGCCCGCTCCAGCGCCGCCGAGGTAGCGGGCAGAGATGTAAAGAAAGGGTTCGCCCGGGCCACCGTGTTGCTGC